TATTGAGAATGGGGCAGCTATGCCACCTCAACATATACCTCAATTATTGAGAATGGGGCAGCTATGCCACCTCAACATATACCTCAATTATTGAGGATGGGGCAGCTATGCCACCTCAACATATACCTCAATTATTGAGGATGGGGCAGCTATGCCACCTCAACACATACCTCAATTATTCAAGATGGGGCAGCTATGCCACCTCAACATATACCTCAATTATTCAGGATGGGGCAGCTATGCCACCTGCCACCTCGGACAGGGAAAGTCGCCAACTACGTGTTTCGATGAGGATGAGGGAATTTCTTCGAAGGTAATTCTTGTTGGATTTTCTGCACTTCTACCACCTCAAGTTTTGTGTACATTATGGAGCTGTAGCAACTCTTGAGTTCAGCTGAGTAAGCCAGACATATATTCCAATACTGCTAAGAGCGCGTCTACGTCTTGAGAGAGCGTAGTATGATGACCGACATCCGATCGACCACAACAACTCACCCATCAAATCAATAAGGTCATCAACTTCTTCTTTTCCATAGTATCCCTTTCCGCTTTGGCTGCTCACCAAATCACACGGTGCAAGCCTCACCATACACGAGAAGGCACTACCGCTGCTACTACTACCACTACCAGTAGCTCGCTCCACTGTCTCTCCGGACGTGGAAGCACATCTAGCACAAATCATTGTGGACTTATATCACCAATACACCCACTCGTCTGACTGCATCTCCTCCATCACAGAGAGGGAATACCTTAGAGTGGTCGGCTCGGATTTCCGTCGACTCGCTCCCCCGACCTTCTTCTCGCTGCCCTCAGTGTTGTCTCGAGGCTGCCAAATTGTGAAACGGGACAGAACAAATCCTAATGCCCTTGCTAACGCTGCACAACACCACAACACCACGAACGAGGACATCCATAAATATGATAACATGGATTATAAGATTGCCCTAGTCATCTATGAGTAACTATCCAATAACTCTCACTGACATGTAGCATTCTACAACCGCATGCGCTGAAATCTTGACTTGTTGTCGCTCTTGTTCTCCTTTCTGCCGCTTTATAACTATTGCACGTCGCAACCTCCTGTAAGCGACTTCAACCGTGCCCGGCATAGCTTAGCTGAATACATCGTACTTGCTCAACCAAGCGTCAAACAACATATAGTTCGATCGCACCAAGGTGTTCTACGAAGTGACACACTCCTGATAACATCATTCGCACACTCCTACAGCTGGATGGATGCACCGAATTCGTCGCTAAATTGTGCAGGGAAAATATATGGCATCCAGAAATTGACAAGACTCGAAAACCCAATAACCAGATGGCGCTTTCTCAAACGTCCATAACAATGCAGCAGCGTAATCGATCCCATTGGGAGCAGCATCAGCAGTTTTCCAAACCGCAACTACGACTACAGCGAGAATAGTAATAATATAGAGTACTGCGGTAATCCATCTATGATGGTCATCTGGTTTCTGAAACTAATGACGCCGACTTCTCTCTCTACTACGGCTCCGACTCGAGCGTCGTGAACGGCGGCGAGGAGGGGAGTCTTGACGAGGCTCTGGAGGGACTCCACAAATCTGCATGTGCTTGTAGATCAGCAATTTCCACATCTTCAGAACGAAAGTCTGAAATAACATCACATTCCTTCGGAAATGGAATACTTCACCACACTGAAACGCTATCACTACCGCAGTGGCTATCGGATTCGACAATAACTCCCCATAGTAAATATCTTCTATTAAAATCATAAGAGCGAGACTTTACTCAAGAGGAGCATCCACAAAATAAGTATCATATTATGAGCATCACTGAGAGAAAATAATCTAAGCCACTGTCAATAGCTACACAGCTCAAATGCATCTACCATCTATGCAGAAACAGAGGACCGTTCGATGTCTAGAATAGAGCCTCCTATCTCCATCTCAATACCCACCTCAGTTTCATCGTCCAGGAAAGGCTTGAGGTCAGTAATACACTGCTGGACAGGCGTCTCAGCGTCCATCCTCTCAAGAATTAAGTTTAACATACGAGGTTCCATCACTCCTAACAGCAAGCACGTATATACCAACCTGATCGGCCTTAAGGACACTACCGAAATACTCCGTCAACTTCTTCTCCAGCCAAGGCTTCAACTGCAACCGAAGAACATCGCATTCCTTGAGAGCATGCCAGTCCAGTTCGAAAGCCATGATAGCATTCCTGCACAACAACAACAACATCACCATAACACCCAATCTCGCCCTCGTACCTTGATCTGGGCATCGCCCGCAACAGAGCTTGGGATTGCCGTAAAGCTGCTTCCTTAGCTGCGGGATCGCGAGGCGCTGAAATAAGTTAACAAAATACAAACCGGTAAAAGTAGGCTCCTATTCCGATCTTAAAAACGCATATTCCCTCCAGATGAAAACAATGTGACAATAATATGACAATTCTCACGTTCAACAACCTGTCTTTGACGTGCTTGGTCCTCAGCCCTCGTCTGAGCAAACATCTCCTTGGTTTTCTCTATCGACGAACCTGAACAATGAAGGTGGGGAAATCCTCTATCACCATCTTATAATACTGTTTCTGTCTACGGTTACTATATACACCTACATAACAAAGATAGACAATTTTAAGCCCGGAAACTCCATCTCATTCCCTCATTCCAGCTAAATCCCGAAGTATTGTTATACTACAATGACATGATTTCCCCGCATACACTGCCGACAATAGATATACCCTAAACTAAGATCTAATAACTCATCAAACCATGAACCCATGCGTAAACTCATGAGTATTGTATGAATATCAAGCTTCATCTGAGACACTGCACCCTCTACGACGTAATGGATCCACTAACGTCATCAACTTATGACACCAGAGAATCATCATTATCAGTTACGTCTGCACTCCCAGTCAGATCAGTGCTGCCCAGAATACACCCACTATAGGTAAACCGCAACGGACAAAACCGACATATGCGGGCGAATCCTTCCTGATGATAAAGCCCGACAGGGTGTACTACCGCTCTTTCGTTCAGGTTCACCGCCGAAACCCATCCGGGATCGCTGGTCAACACTCTGTTTCTTTCGCCTCCTCAACTCCTGCATTTCCTCAAGCAGTTGGCGTCTAGCTTCCTCTTCTCGCCGTTTACGCTCCTCTTCTTCCTTCCGTCGACGTTCCTCCTCTTCCTTCACCTCCCTAGCCTCTTCAGCTCTATCCCTGAGGACAACAACAACAATCACAACATCCCAATACATCTCTGCTACCCTCAACTGAGCTTAGAAAATTTACGCATACTTTGTATTATAACTCTACGAGAATCAACACACGTTCGAGCAAATTTTCCACACCGAAATCGCCATTACTCATCATCAAGCTCTTCCTCCCTCCTCCTATCCAATCGTCTTGAGCACCGTACCGGGCCTTCGTTCGGATTACCATCCTAAACCCAAATCCATCAAGTCCCTCCCTAAAGGCGCTCCCACCTGATCGATGAGCTCAAACCTTTCACTTTCCTCCTGCATTTCCTCATCATTTCGCCTCTCACATTCCATCTCCCTCTCACGCTCTGTCCTCTCCCAGTTACCTTTCCGTCGTTTATACCTACACCACCACAACAAGAAAAACAATCACACCAACAACAACATGGGAGTACTACTCTTTCCTGATAGACTCCCTCAGGTCAGCCCTGCGCCTAAGCCTCGCCATTTCCCTATTAGAATCCCTATAACGCTTCGACAAAGCCGATACTGCAGCACCGCCATCCTCCCGCACACTCCGACCTTCCGACGACGCCCGACTCTTCTTATCCCGGGCTCTGGACGCATCCTAATAATGACAAATTAACGCCGATGAAAAATCTTCCCAGTGCGCACCCTAGAAGATGTCAGCTTATCTTTCTCGAGTTTCTCCTTCCACTCCTTGTTAGCCTCACTCACCAACGCCTCCACTGCTGCCGCAGTCTCTTTCTCCCGTTTAATATCGATATCTTCCTACACTCAAATGCTCATCATCACTTCAGTGGTGATAGCATCAACACTTACCCTAGCAGTGTAATCATCAACCAGTTTCTGAGCCCTCTCATCACATTTTACCAATATACTTTTACCACCCAGTTCACGCCCATCCAAGAGCTCGATCGCCCTCCATAGTCCTCCAGCATCAGCAAACTCACAGTAACCAAAGTTCAGCGCCTTCCCAGTCGAAGGGTCAACTTGGCGGCTCCAGTTGATGACTGATCATAACGACCATCATAAACATGCTCATCATCCACCCCTCTCCTCCCTCCTCACCAGTTCCGCACTGATCCAACAGTTTACGAACCACCGAATCACTGATATCAGCGCACAGTCTACCAACGTAAGCCCGACATGTTTCCTTCCTTAAAGTCGTTCTAACCTCCTTAAGCTCGATAGTAGTGCTACTGCTAGGGAGAACAGGAGGAGGAGGAGAACTTCCTCCCACTGGTGCGACAGGGGTCGTCGTCGTAGTAGTAGGGGGACGCGGAAGTGTAGGCGGGAACATTCCCGCCGGAGCTCCAGCGAACAGTCCTGGTGGGGGTGTTGGGGGTTGGGGGAACCCAGGTAGTTCTGAGATAACAACATAGTGTGCTACTCTTATGGTGTATCTTACACTACCCATTCCAGGCATCGGCATCATTCCTGGTATCATACCTGGCATCATACCGGGCACTGGGGAGGCACCAGGGAACGAACCCGGGCCGCCCGGTGGGACCCCAGGAGGGGGAGGAGGAGGTGGGAAGAACTGTTGTTGTTGTTGCTGCTGTTGGTCACCTGTTGGCACCGGGAATCCACCTCCTCCTGCTCCTCCTGCAGCTGGTGCAAAACCTGGGTTGGGCGGCGGAAAGCCCATGCCTGGCGGTGGTAGCATATTACGATCAACGGCGAACAAGGAAAACTACACCCACGTAGCAGACGATGGGTAAAAACAACACAAATACAAGTTATCATTGACGGAGAAACCAACTTGACAGGAGGAATGAATAATCCAGTGTCTTAAGCTCTTACTCCCTCAACCACTCTAAGAAAGGCTCCAGGGTAATCTCGAGGACCGAAGCTGGGAAGCTCATATCGAAGTTTTCGAGAACCTATAAATGACCCGAGTTCGATCCCTGCATCCAACACTTCTACCTCACCTCAGGATGCAGCACACCGAGGATGCCTATGCAGACATCGCCAACCATGACCTTAGCCTGTCGGCCAGGGAACATAGCCGCATCATCGATCTCCTCCAGATGGTAACGCCTCTGGACCCTCTTATTGACGTTCTCCTCGAAATCAGCTGCAAGGTTGAGTGACCACATAATTTGGTTTAATAAACCATGGATAGTCTCAAAGCCACTATTCGTGCCTACTCCCATAATCATCATCAATACCAACAACACCAACACTCAGCTACCCGCTATAAGTGCCGCCAATCTCCGCTCATTTCGGGCGCCGGTCTCAGCAAGAGACGATTGAACTACCACATCCGAAACCTGATAATATCTAAGTCATTGGTGAAAGGGCCTCACTCGAGTACCTCGAATAGCTTGATCGGAGGAGGATTATGCTTGTTGGACTGAAGGACCTTGAGGAGGCAAGGAATCAGACTAGTACGGCAGATCTCGAAATCCTTCGTCTTAGGGTTTGACAGTTGCACAGGAACCGGATTGAGCTCGTATGAGTAGTATTGGGATGCAGCATCTGTTTGGGAATATCAAATATGTAAATCGATATAAGGAAGGTACCATGAGCAGCAAGCTTAGACTTGGGGCTCTTACCGCCAGTAGGAGGGTGCTTTTGGAAGACCCTAGGAATAGGCTCCTTGCCAGTCAGCTCGAGATTCACATCTCTAAAATAGCCCAATGGTAAAAGCTCGCGCCATCCATCGAACAACCGCGAGTTCGATTCCCACCACCTACCTTCTAAGATAATCGTAGTTCTCCTTAGTGTTCAGGAGCACCCACGTAAGACACTCGCAGAAGCCAGCCATAGCACACTCCGACCTGACCACAAAGAGACACTCCACACATCAACAGCCATTCTCCTCCGATCCGACCTCATCATATCAGATAGTCTATTGATCGGCTGCTCCTTCGGAAAGGTAACAGTCAGAGGGACGGTAGCCTCGAGATTATTATAACCATAACTACCATAGCAACAAACCAGTCGATCACATGAGCCTAGCAAGGGCCTACGAGATAGCAAGATCCTCGATGAGGTCACATTCGTGCATAACATCACTCCTAGTCACTGGTACAGTAACTTCTATAGTGTTCTTCGCGGCATCCACCACCTTCGACGGTAAGAACCTAGATGAACGTAAGTCACCAAAACCATTAGAGGATAAATCCCAAAGTCTACATTCTCGTAAGGTCACTTGCCACTTGCTTATCACCAATCTTATCCTCGATCGCTAGCGCCTTGCGTAGCCTCAACCCCGAGACCTCGATAACCCGCGAGGTAAGGTCAGGGGTAACCATAGTACGGCCCGCCCATCTCGAGGCGTGGGCCGGCGAGTAAGTCACTGGTACGGGCTCGATGGTGAAAGGCTTTGCTGAGTACTGCGAAAAAGCTGTCACCTGAGAAGAAGGAGCGGTGCCAACTCTCTCCTACAGACGATCGAGGAGCTCCTACCAGCATGTTAACAGCCGTCTTTCCCTTAGTGAGGTCAGTACAAGTACACTCGATGAACACGTCATGAGTGTCCAGAGTGATCTTAGAGAAATCAGAATTGATAATAGGAGGCAA